GGCTTGGGCCGCTCGGCTCCGACCAAAGAATGAGAAATTATTCAAATGATATTATTTATCATAATTCTAAAAAATGTCGATACATTTACTATTCACAAGAACACCTTTTACAAATGGTTTAGTAAAAAACTTAGTTTCAAGGCCGGCAGCCGACAGGCGATTAATAACAACAAAACAACGATATTCCGACGAGAACAACAACAACAACAACAACAACAACAACAACAACAACAACAACAACAACAACAACAACAACAACCAGACGACAATTTTATGTCAAAATAAATGTTGGAAGATGAAAAATACTGAAAATACCTTGGCATTTGGAGCTAAAATAAGGACTCCTTCAAAGCCTCGGTTTTTGCGATGCTTTGCCTCCATTTATAACGCCGCACTACAGTCAGGTCAGCTCGCCAGGATTCGCGAGCTTGGTTCACCTCACCTTGAGTGCGGAGGCGCCGTTCAGGTCGGCAGACCCGCCGGGCGTGCGCGCCCTACTGGCGGCCCGCCTCGCAGGGGCCGACGGGCTGGCGTGAATGCGAGGTCTCATAGCGCCAAGATAGTAGGCAACATCCCTCCTGCCGTGCATGCGTGTACCGCGGGATGGCCTACCCTGAGTCTTGCAGGCGTCGAGCCCTCGTAGTTTACAGAATGACTCGGACAGACATACATTCCAGACGATCCCTAAGAAGAATAAGTAACACGTAAAATGTTCCCTCTTTCACCTCAGAACACACAACACTTTACAGATATTAAACTTACACTGTTACACTGGAAGGAGTCGTCCACGGACTCGGGACCTTCACCTGGGGGCTCCAATACCTCCGGGTGCAGGGTAGACCGGGGCAGGTGCAGGTGGACTTCGCGGACTGTGGCGGGCGGCGGGGAGGCCGTGAGAGCGCCAACGTCGTGTTGATGGCTACCTGTTTCGAGCTGTTTAGCTCAAACCGGTCCGGCCAAGGGCAGCTTCTCGCGAACAGACTGTATACGAAGTCCACCTCCCCCCCCCCCACAATGTAAATTTAAACAAATCAGGAGGTTACGAAGTTGGAATGAAGGTAAAAACTCAACTTATGCATTTCACATTGGCATTTACACTGTATTTCAATAGCTCTTCAGTTATTAAGAAAATCAACTAGAACTACTTTATTCTATAAATTTGTACAGTTACAGGTAAGTAAGTAGATCTGAAGGTAAGTAGGTCTGTAATCTTATATTCAAAAGAAGGGGAAAACTTTACACAATACTTTCATTTTCATCATCCCGACGTGGCACACGTCTAAATGACATAATCACGTTGGCAAATTTTAGCGACTATGCAAATACGTCGTTTGCTTTACACGATGATAATGCGTTTACATGTATGCATTGTGTTTTATTCACTACTCTACCTGAATACGCTCAAAAGGGCGGTTCTTTAGGACGCGAAAACTAGCAGCAGCTTCGGCCTCGGCGCACAACGGACACAGCTCGCCTGCGGGGTGCCTGAAGAACATCATGTGCCTGTCGCGCTCCTCGCGGAAGACGGCGACCACGTGGAGAGGCATGGAGGCGCGGCGCACCAGGTCCTGGCAGTCTGCGGAGACAAAGACAGTGAGTCATCAACGGCCGAGGCCAACGGGAACACCGGGGAAGCAGACGACGCGACTTCTCACCTTGATAGCCCGAATAGACGCTGGCTGAGTCGGAGCCACTCCCGGTGCCGTCCGTGAAGACGATGACGGCGAGCTTTGGCATGGCGGCGGCGGAGAGACCTGAGAGGATCACGGTTGGCTTATTGTGGAGCCCCAGGAGGCGGAGCGAGCGTAGGTTGGGAAGGCCCGCCAGCGCCACCCCCAGCGACAGCGCTCCCACGCTCGAGCGGAAGGAGAGCACGAGGTGCTGCAGACTGGTAATCCCGACCGCTCCCAGGGCTCGAACTGAATCGTCAGTGCAACCCCTGAGCTCGAGGCGCTGTAGTGGGCTGGGGCACGACTTCAACAATGCGGCGACCCCATAGTTCTGAAAACGGCAGAAGGATCAAGGAAGCGGAAGAATCAGACCAAGCGGAAGCTGGGAAAAACCACACATCTGGGTAGTAGGTGACTTTGCTTACCACGAAGAAGTCGTTCTTGAGGAATACGGTGAGGTGTTTGAGCCCGGTCATTTGCTGTAGTCCCTTCAGGTGGTGGTCACAGTCGAGGGTCAGGGTGAGCCGCTGCAGCCCGCTGGCAAAGGGGTCCAGGAGCGGCAGCAGCTGCGGCGAGTCGAGCTTGAGATGGTGCAGCGTTGCCCTGCAGAAATCAATTTAACACATTAAACCTGCGATAAGAAGAAGGCGAGGGGTATGGTCAGAATAACATCGAAAGCAATAGCATCATACTCGTGCGGCAGCAGCAGGGAGCGGAGGGCTTCGAACAAGGACGAGTCGGGCTCACGCTGTTGTTCTTCTTCCTCCTCGACCTCGTAGTCCCAGAGGTTCGAAAAGATGTCGTCCAGTGTGACGTCATATTCGTCATCATCCTCGTCTACGTCTTCATCATCCTCGTTGTGATCATCCTCGTTGTCATCATCTTCGTCTTCGTCATCATCCTCGTCTACCTCGTCCTCTTCGCCCTCAACATCGTTCTCCTCTTCCATAGCTTTGCCCTCGCCCTCTTCGCCCTCAACGTCGTTCTCCTCGTTCTCGGCTTTGCCTTCGGCCGAGTCAGTTCCACACCCCTCGCCTTCGCCTATCAGGACCTCCTCGCCTACGACGACACCATCGCCTTGGAAGTTAACAACTTTGCTTTGGACGTCGTCCTCTTGAGCCTGGACGCCGTTCACTCGGCCCTGGGCGACGTCCACTTGACCGTGGATTTCGTCCAGTTCGCCAACAATGTCGTTCTCATCGCGTTTGCTTTGGAGGTCGTCCTGATCGCCTATGACTTCTTTGGCTTTGCCATCCCCTATGGCGGCCTCCTCGCTTATGACAACCTCCTCACCTATGACGTCCACATCGCCTTGGACGTCGTCCACTTCGACTTGGATGTCGTCCACTACGGCTATGACGTTGCCGTCTTTGCGTTCGACGTCACCTTCTTTGTCTTTGTCGTCGACGCTTTCGCCTTTGACGTCACTGCCTTCGATACCAACGAAGATGTCGTCATCCTCCGCGCCCTCGTCCTCTTCGGGTGGGGGCAAATCGTACTCAAAATCAGATTCTTCAAAAAAAGCCAACTCTACGGTGCGCAGTTTCGGCAGCACCACTTCCTGAAAACAGTAAACAGACGTCGAAACGAATCAGCTGTTGTGCTATGATGTGCTTTATCGAGCTAAAAATTTGGTTGATTTTACGCTGTAATTTCAAAGGCGTACCGGGAGAGTGCGACAAAGGTGTAGGCTACAGAAACCAGTGCGCGACTGCCAAGCCTGCCAAGCCCCGTGGGCAGGTGTTTGGCCTCCATACACCTTGTGCAGGGTGAAATAGTACGGGTTTGAGGGAGCTGTGAGCCGTGGGCTCCAGGCCCATGAAGTGCGCCCCCAAGGTGTATGCAGGCCAAGCACCCGCTCAGGGGGCTTAGGGGCTGTCCGGCATATTATGCATACAAAGGTGTATGGTGGCAGTGCGACAAAGGTGTATG